GGATTTTTATAGAATGTGTCTATGTTTGAATGCATAATGTGTTGAAAAGCATGACTATGAATGTTTCATGATTTAGTTGAGCATGATGTGTATGTATTGTTGGTGAGGGCTACTTACGGAGTATATCTTATATACTCACCCCCCCCTTCTACAATTATTGTTTCAGGTGAAGGACTCGTTGGCGACCATGGTGATGAGGCGGAGGAGACATGGCGAGCGAGGACCATAGGCTGCTTAGTCACTCTTGCTTAGCTTAAATTATTAGTTAAGACCTTATGTTATGGTCAATAAACTATTTGCTCGTATTTGAATAATTGGGAGGTTCCCACTTGTTAATTTTATTTCGGAATAGGTGCCTATCTCAGTTTTCTTCCATTCATTGAGTTTTGCCTAGTTTGAATAATAAAATTTGCCTCGTGAGGTTGTCCACGAATGTTGTTGATTGATATTTTATGAAATTGATTTATTGTTGAATTGATGAGAAGTGGAACTTGATTTTATATAATTGTTGCATAGGGAGTGGCATGACGTGTTTGGGGTTAAGTCTAATCAGTTGGGTAGTTAACGTGACCTAAAAGTGTGTGGGAAATTCTGGGTCGTTACAACATGCAACTGGATATTATTTGAATGCATCTCTTTTCTATGACAACAAAAAAATAATTATGCAAGATCTTAAGGCTATGGATGGTTTGCTCAAAATTGTGCAATGATTGATACCATATGTTGAAGAACAAGTTTAGTGCACAATCGAATTAGAATAGTCCAATGAAGCTAAAGGGATGTGCAAGAGTCAGGTAGCAATGTTCACAAGGGCAAAAAAAAGACACCTGGTAATGACTGTCTTTTTACTTTTAAGTCTTTAGACATATTTTGAAGTTTGAACAACTAAATCATTTGTTTAATTGTGCATAGATCATCATGGTGGTCTCTTTATCGCACTAATGCTCCAGTTTTACAAAAATTAGCCATGAGAATACTTAGTCTAACGTGTGGCGCTTCTGGATGCGAGCGCAATTGGAGTTTGTTTGAACACGTAAGTGAGAATAATTTAGTTTTTAAGTTCTTAATTGAAGATTTAAAACTCTACTTTTGATTCTATATTCATTAATAATTTTGTCGATTCATTCCAAGAAAATTGAACAGGTTTGAGCACAAGCATCTTAATGACTTGGTTTATATAAAATATAACCAAGCAATTAAAAGAACGTTATACTCTGCAGCACCAACTTGATCCGATTTCTTTCGATCATATTGATGAAAGAAATGAAGGATTGGTTGGAAGAATAGAAGAAGAAAATAGTAAAGATGATAATGAGTTGGTTTTTGATAATGACCTCACATGGGAAGATGCAGCTGAGGCTAGTGGTGTTATAAAGCTTATAAAGCAAACTAGATCTACAAGATCAAGATCTAAATGAAAGTCACCTGCTACTGCCACAACTTCTAGAGTTCAAGTGGTTAGTGATAATAATTATGACACCGATGAAGAATAATTGAAAGGGAAGATTGTGAGGATGTCGAAGATGAAGAAGAGACTTTAGATTTAGAAGATGATGATGATCTTTGATGTCTACACCAATGTTTTAAAAGGCTAAAGGCGGCATCGAGGCTTTTTCTCTTGAAAAGGCGAGGCGTAAGCCTCAAGGCGGTATGAGGCGTAAGCCTCAATTTTAATTAAAAGAATTAAACAAATCCTAAATTTGTGTGGTCAAGTATTACCAAACATAATAGTTATATAAAATTATCAAAATATCCACCTGTTACTCGTCACTGAAAAAAAAATTCTAAAAAAACATCATAACATCACTACTAAAAAATTCTAAAAAAACATCATAACATCACTACTATTATCACCAATAGAACTTACTTATTCTATAAATTATTGTCTTCAATATTTTTTATTTTTAAAGTCTAGGTMGTAAAAGTAGTAATAGATTGAATTGTTACAACTCCTGCTTAGGATTCCATACAAAAAAAAMCTTGATATTTTTTAAGAATTGGAAAAATTAATAGTATTCTTGTAATCATTACACGAGGCGTATACTTTAAGCCTCAGTGCGTTTTCAAAGAGGCGTAAGCCTCTTCTATGCGAGGCGTAAGCCTCTTATAGTCCAAAGAAGGCGTAAGACTTGAGGCTAAAAGTTAGAGCCTTGCCTCGAGGCGGGCCTCAAGGCGTAAGCCTCAAAAGCCTTTTAAAACATTGGTCTACACTTGGATTTACTTTGTTATATTTCTTAATGTTGCTTGTTATTGTTGGGAACTAAGAGAATTTGGTTGTTTTATTTATCTTTTTGACATTTTGATATATGCACCGACACTATTTTAGTATTGATTTTTTAAACTATGTTTACTATATAAATTTATGCACTGTATATATAATTTTTATTTATTTATTAAGGTACGTCTTGCTTTACTCGAGCCTTGCCTTTTTTGTTGTCTCTCGCCTTAAGGCGATCAAATGGTTGGTTGCCTTGAGGTGCCCCTTGCATCTTGAAAACACGGGTGTCGGAGCAGTTGTTTCTTGTTCGAAATTGCGTGTTTGATGACTACACTCTCTTTTGGCCGTTTCTAGTCTTTTTCTCAATAGATATCCAAAGATTTGTTGTTGGTTAGTTAGCCTTCACTCACTTGCCCAAGTTAGGACACTTAAAAGAAGAAAACAATGCACACAAATTAAAGCACAAGGACACATAATGTATGGAGAAACACCTCCATTTTCGTACCTAACTTCAATACATTACAAGAAGAAATATGCAATCGTGTGGGAGTGGGGAAAGTATAATATAATAAGTTAAACTTAAAAATACAATAGATGAAGAGTAACTCGTAAAACACCAAAGAAAACTATAGATTATTGTTTCTATTTTCTGGTTCTTTTTAAAATTTTTAATACATTTTAAAAAATATATGAAACCAGACATGTTTTTTGCATCAACCCCTTGGTCTTTTAAGCTTTGTGGTACTGCAATTTTTTTTTTTTTATATCCATGAATGCCTGGGTCAATGTACACACACCTCAACTAATCTCAAGGCAACCGTCTGACCCTACAACATTTGGTGCCAGGAAATATAAAGGAATTACTAATTCCTAAGGTAGGTGGCCATCATGAGTATTGCAATATTTTAAATTCTTATTACATCATCGAAGACTTGTAGTGTTATCTATAAGTTAAGGGGATCGTGTTTATCGTTCTTCCCTTGTCCTTGAAGCTCTTTGATCATTTTTCTCAACAAAACTATTGTTCATTTTATTTGTAAAAGAGAGAAAGAAAGAAAAAAACAGAAAAACAAACTTCATCTGCTAATGAAAATGACCCATGCTTTACCTTTACAGGGTGTGAAAGGATATTTTCTTTATTCTTCAAGAACCGAAGAACGAGCTTTGATACAACCGCCTGGAGATCTTTTTCATTCAAACAGCAAGTAGCTTGGATGGGGAATATGCGATGGCACCAACTGCATATAGAAAATAACAAGTTACTGAATTGCAGTAAATGCAATCGTGGTGTCAAACTCAATTATGAAATGAAAATCAAAACTTTCATTCGATTTTAGTATACCTCCTCTTACAAACGAAGAAATTTATAGATGACATAAAACACGGACACAAAATGATGATGCTTCAATTGTCATCTGTTAATGTTCCAAAATGGCCTAACTATTGAATACGAAAAAAGCTAGAAAGAAAAAAGAGAGAGACCTCATCCTGAATTCGAACTTTTACCCCCCCTCATCTATGGATACATGGCCTTGGCCAGCTGCTCATAAAAATGCTTTAACAAGAGCCCCTTGGTTCTATATCTGAAAGTTAGGCAATCTCGTTGTCAATTCACTAAATGCAAGTTGAGATGCGGATTCCCTTCTTATTTTAGTAGGATAGACAGTTGGGTAATAATCTTCTCTCCGAATTTCAAAAACTTTACTCCCTCTCAAACCGAAAATCTGCCGTTGTAGAGCAGCTACGCAACCATACAACTGAAAATTGAGACTTAATTTCTAGAGGTTGTTAATTGAAGAGGAATTTGAGGAATGGGCATCATTTTTTTAATCAAGGAATCGAGAATTTTTATTGATATAGTGAAAAGCAAGAAAAGAACAAAAGTACAAAAATCTCAAAGGAGAGAAGAAAAAACTGAATGAAGATTAAGAACAATAAGGAGGAGTTATAAAGATCTCCCACTTCATATAAATATCTTGTAACAAAAAACCAAAAAAGATATCAAAAAGAGCACATCATTAAGTTTTCAATCTAGTCGCTTTAAAATACTTGAGCTACTGCTTTTGTGAGTTATCGAAAACTCTTTGATTCCTTTCCATCCAAATTCAAAAATAATAGCTTTAACCGCATTGCGCTGTAACAAAAGGATATTGATGCCAAAGAAGGTCCAATGATGAGCTGAGGAATATTGATGGAGTCTTGTGAGAAAAAGAAAGGAAGGATAAAAAAGAAAAGAAGGAATCTTCTTTTGCAGCACATAGAAAGAATTAAGACAACTATTTTGCAAATCCATAATAAGATATTGATCCATTCCTCTTCAGGCTTTTAGATTTCCATATAGCAGAAAAAAGATCTTTTGATAAAGGAGAAGAGAAAGTAAGTTGTCTTGTGAGTGATTTAACAAAAAAACAGCCTGAAGAATCAAAAATTCATCTCCTTGAATCGTTGCGAGACTCCAATTTCGCCCCCTCTAGTTCAAAACAAAGAGAGCTCAATTCAATAATTTCATCTTTTAAAAAATCCTCTATATGTAATCCTCCAAGAAACACATAACATCCCAGAATTCTGAAATAGCACCGTTGGGAGGCAAAGACACTTTGTGAAGAAGGGGAAAACAGAGATATAAAGAAGCAGTTCCAAGCCGGACATCCGGCCAAAAAGAAATCCACATGCCATTTCCGATCTTGAAGTGAGCATATTTATCCACCCGTTCCCAGATTTTTGAGATACTATGCCACGGACTTCTAAGGCCGACATTTTTTTTTTTTTTGCTGGATGACTTCATTCAAAATTATCTAAACCATGTATGCTTTCAATCAGCTTATTTTTCTTAGGAGAATTGTCCTTCCAAAATTCGTTAATCATGGGGATCTGCCGCTCTGGGGTCGTTTCCATCAACTTCAGAAAAGAGGACTTTGTAGTACCGGCCATCATCCTCCAAGGACCAAGCTGCTTTATCCATCCCCTCTCCTAAAGCAACAGGATCCAAAAGCTACACTAAGCTCACCCAAAAATCAAATTCTCTGAAAAAAGCCCTGTTCTAAAACCCAAATCCCAAACATTCTGATCTAAAATCCAGCAATCGGCTATGGAAGCATTCTGTTTCAAAGAGACCGCAAAAATCTGAAAAAGCCTGTGCAAGGGGGGTGTCACCCACCCATCTAAGGAGCCAGAACCTTATTCTTCCACCTTGAATTGCTTTGAAAGACAGAAAATTCCAGAAGAAGACACTTGTCTTTGCGATCTCGAATCAAGGTCTCCCCTTCGCTCTCCCTTTTGGGGCCATTGGCAGCCAACCAAGAGAATCAACCCCGTAAATACTTGCAACAACCCTTCTCCATAGGGTCTTTTCTTCATTCAGAAACCTCCATAACCATTTTAGCAACAGAGCATTATTTCTTTGTCTAAACGCACCGATGCCCAAACCTCCTAGTGTTACAAGGAAGGTCATTTGAGCCCAATTTACAAGATTCCAACAAGGGTGAGACCATGAGAGGTGCCCCCCTCCTAAAAGAAGTCTATCACCACCTTGTCCATCTCTGTTGTCATACTCACCAGGGCTTTAAGAAGCAAAAAGTAGAAGAGGGGTAAACTATGAACAGTATTGAAAACATCTCTGATATGAACCAAGATGCATTAGTCTTGCCGCTAGGACCAATCACTCGTTCAAGGGCCAAACAATTACAGCTAGCATTTGATTCTCACGTCCAAACAGTAGTGAGCTCCACTAACAGACATCAAGAGGATAAAGATGGGAAAAAACTTTATTCATGGTGTCAAATGAATATACGAGACGAAGATGAAGCCAAATGAAGACACGAGAAGAAGATGATGGAACTTTATATTACCAAAGTTATTTTTAAAAAAAAAATTGTTATTTATCTTATTTTAGGCCTTTTATATTTTTAGCACAATGATGTGGGCATTGAATTTATCAATTTTTGTGTGTTTTTTTTTAAATTAACTATGTCACTTTTACTTGGGGGTAGTATAGTCTTTTAGTTTCCATTGAGATTAGGGATTTAATCTTGTGAACAGAAGGATCAATGAAAACATAATGAATTTGGAGTGTTTTAGCATGATGACTAATGGTTCATCAACTTTGCAATTCTTGATCTAGATTGCAAACCTGAAACATTCAAGTTAGGTTTGATCAACCTTCTGATAGGCCCCCGATCATTAAACAATATGTAAGAAGAAAGGGCAAGAAGGTAAAAGGATTAGATCCTGGTGGGCCCGAGTTAGTTAGGGGGTAATTTGGTCCTTAAAGGGATATAGGGTGGTTATATGACCTGCTGTATTGGGAAGGGGGGGATTATCTTTTGTGGCTGAGTTGTTCCCTGTGAGGAATTGTAGGAGAGGTTAGGGAGCTCTCGAATTCTCCCTCAACTTGTAAATTCCCCTCCCATACATAAATAATAGAGCAGACTCTATCACCTTCTTGTGGAGTGTTCAACCTTGAGTAGGGAACGAGTTCTCCTTACCTCTTGGTCTTCGATCATCAAGGTAATCCTCGTCTAATCTTTCCTTGGGATTGTGCTATTTGATCTGGGGTTTTAGAAATTGACAAGTTAGGGGTCCTCCTTAGGTGGAAAGGTTTTTATCTGCAATTTTCTAGGGTTTCATATCAATCTCCATCATATTTAAAGAAAAACGAACGAAGTGGGGCTTGCAATAACTCAACGAAAATATTCCCAAACCATACTAAATAGGATGAGAGACGAGGCAAAACGATGTCTTTTCTATATCTTCAACACACTTGCTTTCATCCCAAATGCAGTAGTTTTTGTTCTCAATACAACAACTGTTGATCTCCATGGTGCTTTTAGACTTGAGGGATTTCTAGGCTAGATGAACTCAACTATAATCAAACTTGACAAATAGCTTCCAACAAAGAAGAAAAAAAATCTAGGAGAGTAGAGGGCATTTTCCTTTAGAAATAATTTTACTAACTCCCTTCTTTGAGCATCACTAATTATCTAATTTTTCTGATAGTCTGAAAAGGGTAGTTGGCATTGGCCTTTGGAACCAACAGGTTTACTTCACTGTTTGCACTCTTGGATAGCCTCATAGGATACAGGGATGCAATAGCTCTTCCTATTTATTAAAGGCATTAGGCCAGACAAATATCAAAAAAAATTTCAAATTCTCCCGTGGAAGCTTAGTCACGGAAGCCTTAATACTCAAGATATGGTCCTGAACTCTCTTGCTCAGGTGGTGTATTTAATGTAAAAGAAGCAATGAAACCCAAGAGCATCTCTTCCTCTCATGCCAATTTTGCATATGAATTTTGGTGCACTATTCTAAAGGCTATGGTCTATGGCTCTCCCTAGTAACATGAACTCCGTCATAGAGATAATTTTGCTCACCAACATTTCAAGAAGAATAAAAAGCAGTACAAATAAATACTCTTCTTTTGGTTGATGTGGGTAGAATCAAACAATCGCACCTTCAACAACACATAAACATTTTAAAGGTAACCGTTACCTCTAGAAAACCTTCCACAATTTAGACTTCATACCCTTTGACAACAGTTTGTCACGGTCATCATAAAGAGAATAGGGGAAAAGGAAGGTCTTTTTGTCTTAAATCTCTAACCCCTATGAGCAATGATTTTAGCTACGCTTTCAATTTAAGATAATAGAAAAGTTCAAGCTATAGATGCACCTAAAAATCCATCTTCCTCCACTAAATAACAAGCCCTTATCTTTCATGAACACACCATATCAAAGAAATATCAATCAACCATGCCATCAACTTACACCAAATCAAGCTTCAAGGTGCAACATTTTCCTTGTCCTCTGTTGTGTTAATAAACCAAACCTTTGACCTCAAGTTTGGAGATTCCTTATCTCTCTCCCCAAATTCATACTCTGTGAATCTATGGATGGTTTCTTAGTATTAAAGAACTATATAACCATACATCCTAGCATAATGCAAGGTTTCAGTAATGTTTTAATTCACATATATGTTCTTATGAACAAGCTTAGGCAACAAAAGTCACCCAATATCAACTAATTATCTACGAGATAAATTTTTTCCTCACTTTAAAATTTAAATATGTTGGCCTTTAGTACTTGGAGGTCAAGCTTGTAGTAAATAAATTAGATGTAAGTAGTTCCAGATTTTAGAGATGAAAATCGTCTATATAAAGAAAAAAGATGTTAAAATCTTGTATTGGGGCCCTGATCTCCGAGATAAGAAAGATGGTAATAGAACTTTGGGAGAAAACTTCAGAAGTGATTGGATTCTAGGTTTTTTTTTCTTTCTTTTTTTCCTTTCTTTGGTTTGCTCACATATGGACACACCAAGTTTATTTAATGGCATCCCAAGGTTGCTTTATCATTTTTCTAGAATTTCCATTCTTTTTCTTAAAAAGAGTGATGCTTTTCTAAATTTTAGTACTCATTTCAGTTTTCCCAAAAGGTGGCTCAATTGCCTGGACTCAATTGGCTCCACGATTCCTTGGTGACGCCGGCCGAGTCCTGATCTGGGGAGGTGGCGCATTGATTAGAACTTGTTCAAGGAAGAAAAGGACAATTTCTAGAAATTTCATTTATCTCTCTCCAAGTTTCTAAAGAACTTGGAACTCTTAAACATTGTATTAACTTTATTTCTAGAAAGTGCATTAACATAATAGTAACCATTGAAAACAAGATATTTCTAAAATTATTTGTCTCAAGAACTATTTAGAAAAGTACGAACTACCAAATGAAAGCCCTAATGACGGTAAATTTCTCAGAAGCAAATGCCGACAAAGAATTTATATCACAAACACGTGTGTCAAAAATACGAAGCTTATTTCAATCTATTCTTAATTGGAATGGTAAATTACTAAATTCTAACCAAATAAGTAAAAAGAGAGTTACTTACGCTGGTGACTTCAAAGTCCCTGCTTCCAGAGACTGAATTATGTCCAAGACAATAAAAACAGTGTCAGGAGAGATATCCTTGGGAAGGGTAAACAAAACCAGACCACTCCTTGTCAGCTTCACTAGTGAAATAGGAGAACTTTTCTCTACTCTTGCCTCACACTTTGTAGAATTCATAGAAGTTCCTTCAACATGTTCATCTGATGTCATCAAGGTCAGATATGACAATAGAAATCAGTGGAGAGACAACAATCAAAAACTGCAACTTCAAATTAAATTGTGTATATTGGCCACAAAATCTACTATTACTTCAGCAAATTAATTCTTACCACTACTCCTTTCCTCTCCTTTAACACTTTTGTGATCAACATCCTCTGTGCATATTTTCCTCCTTTTAGAAACTTCATTTTCATCAGATACCTCCAAATTTTCTGGGGTAGAACTGCTGAAGTACTGGATATACTGCAAGAAACACAACAAAAGTTAAGAAAACATGATTGTTGGGTGAAAGAAAAACGAGTGACAAAAACTTCTCTGAAGAATAATGTGGCGATTCATAATTACAATTAAGTAATCTAGCTATATGCTCATGTTGAAAGTACTCTTTCTAAAAAATGATGCTCTAGCTATTAAAGAGTTTATCATCAGTTCAACATTAAAGTTTCAGACCCATTATCCTTCCATGTCTCTCAAATGACAAATAAACCTTGCATTTCAACTGAAAACTTAATTAATCACAGACAAGGCTTCCTAAAATACTCATATGACAACATTTTTTCACGAAACAACACAAACTGATTTTGTTACAAGACAATTAAGTACAGTCTTAAATACATGAATTTTATTGAATTATAATTTAAATTTCAATATTTTCATGCACTATGTTACTATTTTTCTGTTAATTACCGGGCACCAAAAGCGGATTAGAGGCATTTTTCAATATCCCACGACCTTGAGTTTATGGCAGTTCCCCAATTGGTCTTTGGCAACAACTAACAACAGAAAAGGAACTCAACATGCAGATGCAGGTTAATTGAGACGTCAGATCCAATTCGTTTCATAAAGCTTTATGAAATACTATTATTTTATGATTTTAGTGTTTGGTTAAACTCCTAATAATTGTTTAGATAAAGTAACATAATATGAACTTAGTATCTTCAAATTTTAATGTTGATTAGATTTCTTAAATATAAATGGATTTCTAATAGTGTTTTAGGGATGACTTTTGAAAAAATTATTTTTAAACTTATTTTTCCTAGAAAAATTACTAATTTAGAGTGTGTTTAGTATAGTTTCCGAAGTGATTTTGGATAACTAATATTACTTTTTAAAAATTCTACAGCGTACAATAATAAATAAAAATATTATTTTTAAAACACAGGATTGCCTTAAAAATCCTTTTTGAAGAAACACTTTGGCAGATGATTATCTAAAAGATTATCTTAAAGTCATTGATACTCTTGTAGTTTAAGGAAAGATGATTACTTATTAAAACAGTGATTAAATTAAAATATAGGCAGAACTTACCCTATGTCCTTGTTTAAGTCCAATAAAATATTCCATGCTTGAGTTAGATCTACCTTCTTTTAATATAGCTACAGTAACTTTATCTAGGAGGCAATAGAAAAATATAAAAATGCAATTTTAATCAATTTCTTCGACAGTTATTTTGGGTGTCAAGGCTTCGAAATCCAAGTATAAAATTCGTAGGTCATTTCCAAGGTGTTTACAGATAATTAGCTATAAACATCACCGGAATTATTACTTCAAACATCCTAGATTTAACTCGGCAGTTTACCATTTCAACTTCAGAAAGTCTGATCATATGAAGTCATAAATGCTAGAATGCATGACGTCGAGAAAATTCGACAGAGTACAAAAACAGAACCTTTTCAAGGATGGAGATGGCTTCTTTTGTGGCACTCTTCTCCCTCTCTGACAAAAGAAAGGAAAGAGTTATAGTCCATTTTTTCTGGCTCTCTCTTTCCATTATTAACTTGAAAGGTACTGTTCAGAAACAAACATCCCAAAAGCAGGGACTCTTGGTCCATTTAGATTTAAAAACATCACATAAACCTTAAGCTTTTAAGGTTTTCTCTCCATTTTGCCTCCTAAATTTTCAAAATTGAAACATTATATACATAAAAAACTACAATGTGCCCTCCCATTGAAAATTTCTGGCTTCGTCCTGGCCTAAAAAAGTGAAGAAAACAAAAAACCTCCACCATGCTACACGAGCAAGTTTTCAGCGCCTTAAAAAAAGTTCCCCAGAAAGAATGACGTATAAACAAGGCCAGAAAGATGAAATTGGCTCCTACTATGTTTACTAAAAGTACCAGTAAGAAGAAATTAATACCAGCAAATTTTTCAATGACGGCAATCAAACATCGCGACCAATAGATTGCAAAGCACAGTTAAACAATCGAGAATAAGAAATATGCTGTACTAGAAAAGAGACTGCAAGACATAGTAGAAGGGATTCTTACTGATAGAGCATGTGATGAGGAATCCAGAATGGCAATGGTGAAGAAGTGCAGATGGTGCGTTGTAGTCGAAGCGAGGGATGCTTATGACGCCAGAGTGCTGCTCCCATGGCGTCATCGTCTTCCCTCCATTTTCAGCGACATTCTCTGTCGCTTTCGACGCTTCTGCTACAGGTTTAGGCTGGTAGCCATTGTTGTTAGCTTCTTTCTCTGCCATTTCGCTGCTTTTCCGTTGATTCGGACGACGAACTCCCGATGACAAAGTTCAGCAACTCACGACGGCAACAAAATAGGGAAATCCTGAACAGTGGCGCAGCCCAAAACGCCCGCCCCTTTTGGCTAGTCATGAAATAAATTATTAATATATCCACAAGATCCATGTCAATATTAAATTATTATTAAGATATAAAATTGATAAATTAGGAGAAAATCCCTCAAATTGGACTACTTACACCTTCCAAAACTGAAAAATCTCATAACCCCTAAATTTCCGTAACCTCCGTTCTTCTCCCTCGATTTTCTTTCATTCCTCCGACTGTCGGGCTTCTTCTTTATCTGAAACCTCCGTTCATCTTCTTCGACATTGTCGCTGTCTCCCTTCGTCTCCGACGACTCCGATTTTCTTTGTCGCATAACATTTTACCTCCAGCATTTCATTTCGTCTCCGGCGGCTCCGATTCCCTCTGAAACCTCCAACTGCGTGAGCATTTCATTCCTTCATTTTGGATTATCCGGTAGTATTTATTTTTTGTTTAATTGAATAGAAAAAAAAATATGAATCTATTATTGCTACCGCCAAAGATTAGTTGGCTTATACGAGTATATATTTCTGATTTCGTTTGTTTTAAATAATGTATATATAGGGATATATAGTATAGTGTTTAGAGTAGGATATATATTATATCTCAAGTTTTATGTATCTGGATATATACTGATGGTGATTTAGAATTAAGAATCTGGTGTATATATACCGTTAGTGATTTACATCTTGGCTTTCTGATGTAAATCAATACATCCGAATAAATTTTATATCTCACAAAGTTTAGTCTATGTTATACCGAATATATTGTATATTCAATATGTTATACTAAATATCCTGTCTCATAGAATTTCATGAATATAATTTCATATTGGGTATAAATTATATCTTACTTAAAAGGCGTTTATACATAATGTCAGTAGATTTCAATAGTACAAGTAGATTATATTTTATAATAACGAAAAAACATGAACATAATTTATACCCATATATAGAAATAACTAAACTGTAATTTAAAACAAGAAAATAACATTCATTCATATCCATATTTCCTTCAATGTATAGATAAACTGTGATTTTCTTCTCCTTTCAATATTGACGACAATCAATACGTGTTTTCCATTAATTATCTTATGTTAAAGAATAAATAATACAAAAAAAAATAATAGTTAGACATTTAGACCTCGAACACAGAAGAAATATCTAAACTGTAACCATAAAATTGATTTCATTAAAACAAAAACACAATAAAAGAATGTGAACGGTAGTAGAAAAATAACAATATGGGTATTGAAGCAACTGCATCAACATGAAATATTGAAGCAATAAAAAAAAACTAAAACCCAAAGAATGGGTATAAAGAAGAACTGTAGCAGTAGGGAGTGAATGAACGAACAAGTATGAATGAGTAGTAGTAAAAATCAGCAGAAATTGGGATCATGAGAAGACGTTGTGCCAACAATAATTAAGATTTGGATATTTTTTTAATTAATAATATTGGTAAATAAAGAAAATCAATTTTTTTGAAGGATTTGAAGCAGTGAATTAAGGAATTTGAATTGAAAATTAATATGGGTCCACAATAATTAAAGGACTGTGATATTAATTTATGGAATTCAAATTTTTATATTTCAAAAAAGAAAATAACTATAATAAATGTAAATGCAATAAATAGAGGTAAATTCGGAATTAAAATAAAATCAAGAAATCTAAAAGTGTAAAATTTAAAAAATTTAGACGTTTATGTAAATAAGTTTCTAAAACAGCCATCCAAAAATATTATGTCTAAAAAAAATGGACAAGTACAGAAATGGCTAAAATAATGGGATGGAAAGTTTAAGTAGGTGACGAAATTATATCATCCACCTGAGAAAATGTCCATTTGTTTATAATTTTACAAAAATGGCTAAAGGATATATTTAGAATTTTACATTTTTTTTGTTTTTCCCCCACGATGCCCTTCTTATGGTTTTTGGAATTTACAAGTATTTAACCGCCCAACAAAGTTGCTTTCAATTCAAATGTTGTTTCCTACTCAGTTTGAAACCAACTCACGTAGATTTGTTTCTCATATTTAATGGGTTTAATAGATTTGATTTTATATCTCCACCTTTTAAGTTTTAGTCTTAAGTTGATCTCCCATATCTTTCCCCTCTACAACAACCAATTGAACGGTATTGTATCTTACAAGCTTTTCACTACAACAATGGATTAAGTGTCATCCATCCAAGCTCTCCTATTGGCAATAGTGAATTATATACTAATCACATTTCTATATAATGGTAGTTGATACCAAAACAAATCACTCAAACCAGAAACCTATTTTAGTATCTGTAGTTTTCTACACATTAGATCGTGTCATGATTGTAAAAGCTTCATGGTATCTACTACCCTTGGATTGGGCATGGATTGAGATTAGTCTTATTCAATTTTCTTTCTGTTTGCTTCTCTCTCCCCTTTCTATTCTTGTTGAAGTTTGCAACTTAGCCCCTGAAATTACTTTTCCCCTCTTTTCCCCTCAAGTTCTTTATTATATGTCACCACTGTGCTCACAAATTAGAGGAACAAGTTAGTTGTGGAAGACATTATAGGTATTCCCTTTGTAGATACCAACATTTATCCCAAGATGAAAATGCAACACTAGTACATATCAATCACTATAGATATTGATATTGACCTCGAAATGGAAGTGCAACACCACCCAATGCAGACCACTGTAGATACTGACATTGAGCCCATAAATGGAAGTGCAGAATACTATAGATACTGACATTTACCCAATAAATGGAAGTGTCATTCCAGTGTAGACCACAATTCACCATCAACGCATAAAAGAAAGTGTGACACAAACTACTGTAAATATTAACATTGACCTCATAAATGAAATGTAGACCACAGCTTACCATCAACTCACTAGTAATTATACGTGTATCTATTGATATATACAGTGTGCATATATTACTAAAACGATTACTGTTTGGCAATAGTGAATTCTATACTAATCGCATTTTTATATGATGGTAGTTGAGACCAAAACAAATCAGTCAGACCACGACTTTTAAGGTGTTTGAGATCAATGATGCGAAAGCATGAAAATTTGTTTTAGTATCTGTAGTTTCCTACACATTAGGTTTTGTCATGATTGCAAAAGCTCTATGGTATCTACTATCCTTGGCTTGGGCATGGACTAAGGTTAGTCTTATTCGATTTTCTTTCTGTTTGCTTCTCTCTCCCCTTCCTATTCTTGTTGAAGTTTGCAACTTAGCCCCTATAGTTACTTTCCTCCTCTTTTCTCCTCAAGTTCTTTATTATAGGTCATGACTGTACTCACAAATCATAGGAACAAGTTAGTTGTGGAAGACATTATAGGTATTGTTTTTGTAGATACCAACATTTATCCCAAAATAAAAATGCAACACTAGTACCTGTAGATATTGACATTGACCTCGAAATGGAAGTGTGATACCCAATGCAGACCACTAGATGCCAACATTGATAGTAGAAATGAAACTGCATACTACTATGTATTGACTCATTAAATATATTTACCCCACTAGAAATTTTAAATTTTAGATTTTAGATTTTAACTTAGAAATTTATAAATTTTAACGTTAGTCAAATTTTGAATAAATTTTTATTTATCTACTTTCAAAATATACTTTCAATTTTTAAATTAGATTTTAGTGGTTTAAATTAGATTATTTAAAATTTATTCCTACAATTATGATGCGTTGTTTTTGCAAGTCGTTGTACCAAATAAAATGTCTAAAATTAAGCACATATAGTTATAAGAGTATATTTGTCTAAAATAATATTTAAAATTATAAAAAAAAGTCATTTAGCTATTTACACAATATTTAATATGTTTGGCCATTTTTTAAAACACCTTATTTATTTTGGCCATTTATGCAGTTGTCCCTAATGGGATTAGTGCATTGATGGGCTATTTATAAATCATAATTACATTAAATGATTGAAATCTATAGAATTTATATTTTTATCATGAAACAACCCTAAGTAGGATGATATCCATAATACAAATTACTAGTATATCCTTTTGTAATATTAAATAATTTTTAAAATTACAAATTGGTAAATTGGGAGGTTATAATTTAAATCCCTTAAACTTGCTTAATTGTACTTTCCAAAAGTAAAAAAAATACCAAAACTACAAAAATCCCAAAAATCATCCATTTTCGAAAATTTTGAAACCCCTTCCTCCGACTGTCTTGCTTCCTCTGTTTTTCGTCTTCGACCAATCGTCTCTGCATTCTTTCGCCTCTGCTGCCATCTGGGTGCCTCCTTCTCCGGCCGCCATATCCATTCTTCTTATCCCGTCGTTGTCTCGTTGTTCTTATTCAAAAACTCGTCATTTCCGTCCGCTCCTTCTCTCTAGTCCCCCTCCATTGCCGGAGCAGTTCGTCTCCGTTTATCCCAATCGAAAGGTTTGCATTCCATTATATTATAATAGTTTTCTCTTTCAGATTTGTGTTGAAAACCTTTTTTTGTACTGTTAAACCCTTTCAATGTTCCTTCCATGCCCAAGTAGCTCCAACGGTTGTTTTCGATTTCTGATTTCGTGTGAACTATTGTATATATGGGGATATAAGGAAGTTTATATGGAATTTAGTTTCTATCCAGATGTATCTGAGGGTCGTAGTTGGAGAGTGTGCACACCATCGCGCGCGTGTGCTACCATGCCGCGCAAACCTCTCAGCATG